ATACCATGGCGAGCATGGAGCCCGCTCAGTTCACCGTCACTGTGTTTCTCGTGGTTGCTGGTAGACGCGGTACTGCATTGCTACACAGCATCAGCTCATTGCCTTTTGGCAGCAGACAGTGCAGTATGACTGGTAGCTGTCGTCGCCGTACTCCAGGGTGCTCTTTTAGCCGACCTCGGTGACGTCGGTCAGAGGCACCTGAGCAAACATGGGAGTGACTCAGCCAGGTCATTTCCCTTTTAAGTTTCGTCTCATGGCGATTCAGTCCTGCCGGCAGTCCAACTGCACCGTCTTCTGCCGAGCACCCAGGAGATGATGATGGCCAGCAGTCATACTGCATCGTCTGCTGCCAGCAAGATGTATAAAGATAGATGAAGTGGATCAAAACAAGAAGTAGACCACATTAGTTTTGTATTCATTTTCTCCTCCCTTCTTCCCTCCCTGTGTGAAATCAACAGCGTGCTAAACCCAGGGTTCTGAGTTCTATCCTTGAGGGGGCCATTCTCTTTCTCCTTGATGCAAAGCCACCCCCTTTGTTGATTTAAAATCCCTGTAAGCCAACCCTGTAAGCCGTGTTGTCAGTCGCCCCTCCCTCCATCAGAGCAATGGCAGACAATCATTTTGCACCCTTTTCCCTGGATTGCTTGAGCAGACGCCATAGCACAGCAAGCTTGGAGCCCATTCAGCTCACCGCAGCAGTTATGACCATTGTAAACCCCTCGCGTATTATCATGCAGTTTATGCAAACCAGCACCTAAAAAACCAGGCAAGGAGGCGAGGGAAGTGCGGTGATGAGGACATGAACACAGATTTCTCTAAAACCGCAAGGGGTACTTTTCAATGGTGGTGCAAGCACTGGAGGATCACAAGGGACGTTTCACCAACAACAACGTGGGATGGCTGGGAAAGGTTCATGATGCTCACGTCTTCAGGAACTCTGGTGTGTTTAAACGGCTGCAGGAAGGGATTTACTTCCCAGATCAGAAAATAACTTGGGGATGTTGAAATGCCTATAGTTATCCGTGGGGACCCAGCCTGCCCCTTAATGCCCTGGCTCATGAAGCCCTACACAGGCACCCTGGACAGTAGTCAGGAGCTGTTCAACTATAGGCTGAGCAAGTGCAGAATGGTGGTAGAGTGTGCATTTGGACCTTTAAAGGGTCGCTGGTGCACTTTACTGACTCGCTCAGACATCAGCGAAACCAATATTCCCATTGTTATTGCTGCTTGCTGTTTGCTCCACAGTCTCTGTGAGGGGATGTTTATGGCGGGGTGGGAGGATGAAGCAAATTGCCTGGCCACTGAATACGTGCAGCCAGACACCAGGGCTGTTAGAAGAGCACAGCAGGAAGCACTGCACATCAGAGAAGCTTTGAAAACCAGTTTCATGACTGGCCAGGGTACTGTGTGACACTTCTGCCATAGTCTTTCAGCTTCTGCAACCTTCATAACAGCAGCGCTGTTCTCTTCCATACCAAGCAAAGCACGTTGAGTTGGCCATTTAGTGCTGCAGTTTTCCTGTTAACGTGCCGCAGCAGAAACCAAACTAACCACCCCCGCATCCAATTCTCTGGGATGATCACTTTACCCCTCCCCCCACCACATGGCTGGTATCAGGGAAGATCCCTGCTAGCCAAATGTGAACAGCTCAGCGCCATTGCCCGCCCTACACCCCACCGCGTGGCTAACTGCGGGGAGGATTTCTTTTCAGCCACAGGCAAACAGCCCAGCAGGAACGGCCACCTCTAAATGTCCCCTTAATTAAATTCCCCTATTTCAACCAGGTTACCATGAACGATATCACTCTCCTGAGGATAACACAGAGAGATAAAGAACGGATGTTGCTTGAATGCCAGCAAACACCAGAACCATGCGCTGCCAGGTTTTGTCATGCAATGATACCAGATTACTTGCTGCTAGCATAGCATGGTAAAGTGTCCTACCATGGAGGACGGAATAAGGCTTTCTCCCCAGAAACCTTCTGCAAAGGCTTTTCGAGTACCTCCAGGAGAGCTTCATGGAGATGTCCCTGGAGGATTTCCGCTACAGACTTTTCCAGTAGCTGTACTGGCCACGAATGCATCCCAAGTGCTCAGGGCTACTTAATCATTAAAATACGCTTGCTTTTATAACATGTATTGTATTTTAAAAGGTACACTCACCAAGGGTCCTTTCTGCGGCTTCATTGGATTGGGAGGGTATTTCAGTCAGGGTGATAAAACGATCCTGGCTGTCGGGGAGAATGGTGTGCTGTGTGCTCTCAAGCTCGTCCTCTTCCTCCTCATCTTCCCCGTCCGCAAAATCCTCAGGCACGGCGGAGAGTACCCCATCATCGGAGTCCACGGACAGGAGTGTGGTAGTGGTGGCAGCCCCCCCTAGAATTGCATGCAGCTCAGCGTAGAAGCAGCATGTCTGGGGCTCTGTCCCGGAGCGTCGGTTTGATTCTTTGGTTTTCTGGTATGCTTGTCTGAGCTCCTTAAGTTTCATGCGGCACTGTGTTGCGTCCCTGATGTAGCCTCTGTCCCTCATGGCTTTGGAGATTTTTTGAAATGTTTTGGCATTTCATCTTTTGGAACGTAGTTCTGATAGCATGGATTCCTCTCCCCATACAACAGTCAGATCCTGTACCTCCAGTTCGGTCCATGTTGGAGCTCTTTTTCGATTCTGGGACTGCATGGTCACCTGTGCTGATGAGCTCGGCTGGCCAAACAGGCAATGTGATTCAAAAGTTCCCGGGGCTTTTCCTGTACACCTGGCCAGTGCATCCGAGTTCAGAGTGCTGTCCAGAGCGGTCACAGTGGTGCACTGTGGGATAGCTCCCGGAGGCCAATACCTTCGAATTGTGTCCACATTAACCCTAATTTGAAACGGCTTTGTTGATATCAGCACTAATCCCCTCGTTGCGGAGGAGTACAGAAATCAGTTTTTAGAGCCCTTTATGTCGGAAAAAATGGCTCCGTTGTGTGGACGGGTGCAGGGTTAATTCGATTTAACACTGCTAAATCTGACATAAACTCGTAGTGTAGATCAGGCCTTAGTAGGCTTAAAAGTAATCACCAGGAAATTTGCATTCTGGCTTAGAATTTGCAATTAACTACCTGTGTGTATCATTTATCCTGTATCCTCTATCATGCATCACGCAGGTAGACCGTGTTTTACATGATTTTTGTGCTCAGTAAACAAAAGCTTAAATCTGTTTTCTTTTCTTTGCTTTTCCGCAAAAAATAGCAAAAAGTTCTGGGATTGTCTATCACCTGAGTACCCATCTATTTAAGGAAAATTACCAAACCGCTCAAATTAGAAGTGTGAGAACAGCTGAAGTGACTGTGAATTTTTGTACTTACTTTCTGTGTAAAGCGTGTGTCACTTTTACTGGTGGAAAAATGAACAAAATAATCTGTTTGGCCTTCTACTCTCCTTATGAAATCTAGGACAGTGATATTTTTTTCCCTAAGTGAGGCACTATTAAAGTAGGTTTATTTCAAATCAGAGATGATTATTTTCTGGTACTCATCAACCCCTTAAGGTCCCCTTACCATTTTGATTCAAATCAAGAGGCATTAGCCACGGGCCCCTCCAGAATAGGTTGTTCGTTTAGCAAAATACTGGATTATTACTAATATTAGCTCCAGAATATTAGGAGGCAGACTTGGCATAATGCTACTAGTCTAGAATAATTCCTGAAACTCTCTCTGCCTAGCAACTTAATCTGATAATACATCTGTTTACACTGGACTTGTTTTTTGTTATGGATCTCTCTAAGAGATATTGTACATGAAAACATTATATACAGGGGAATAAGCCTAATTACAACTCACTGCACAAACTTTCCATCACGACAGGTTTTAAATCTCTTTAGTGAAACTGACGTATTGTGCATAAATGACAAGATTGACAGAAGGGTGCTCTCTAACCTGTAGAATGTGAAAAACATGTTACTTTTAGTTTGTGTTTCCTCTTTTTATAATCAGACATTTACAGAAAGCCGAGTGTGATTTATTCTTTTCTTCTTAATGAATTGTTAAGAAGTGTTTGAAAAGGCATTAAATCTTCCCTTCTGCCATTAATCTGTAAAGGGGGAAGGGGATTTTTAATGGCCTCACAGTATATTGCTTTATAAAACTGCTGATTCTAGCAGTGCCAGAATAGGACTACATACTAATGTAGGAAACACTGAGTGCAGTCAGTGAGCCTTCTGCATTTATGGAGGAAAAGACTAATAGCTCCATTTTAACAAGGCTCTTAACACTTGGGCCATCAGCAGGCATTGAGAGAGTGAAATTGAGAGAACTCCTATAAGCTAAAAGCGTCTAAGTTCAGCATTCTTACCTCAGTTTGAGTCTTCCTGATAGGATTTCACATCCAGCCAACCACAGCTGCCATCTTGAAAACAAACCAAGTAGCGAGCTGATGTTTTCCCTGAGCACATTAATGCTTCACTTCTGAAACGACACTAGAACATGATAAATGCACTGACCTCCCTGTTGGATATTCAGCTTTACAACAGTGTTAGGGAAAGCTTCTGGATTTGTGTTATGAATGAAAGCAAAGGTTGTTTATATCGCATTTTTTACTGTAGAAAAATTGACAACAGATGATAAACAGATCTGGAACTAGTATGTAAACTCATTCTTTCCTTTGAATGATGTGTGCATTACTCGGCAATATTAAAATGCTTTTATTTAATCAGGTTTATCTCCTGATTTTGCTGAATTACAGGTGGGAGACTAACCTAAAAAGTTTACAGTATCCCTGCTGGCCTACTGCCAAGGGAACCGCACTGAGGACCTGTTCTAAACAGTCCTTTGATATGGAACCCTTTCTTGTTAGTAGTGATAAGATTAAGTATGGGATTTGTGGATTCTCTGAGCCCTTGCCTTTCTTTTGTTGATTTTGGCACCCTGCAGCATCATTTGTTCTCTGATTATCATTTTGAGATTCATTGTCAGTAACTGGTGTGTATAATTGATCTTCATCTCTAATTACTCTTCTCTCCACAGGTGTCTGGAAAAGGTCCAGATGGGAGTTCACACAATCTCCGCTTTGAAGGGATGGAAAGGCAATATGCATCCTTACCCAGGTACATCACTGAGGCTTCCTCGTGCACTGATTCTATCTGCTTAGAACAGCCGTCTGGCTCTGAAATGAGAGATTATGTTGCAGTTTTGTCTCGCTGCCTTCTGCTGATGATTTAGTGCCATCTTTATAACTGTATTAATAATTTAGACAGTTGATTTTTAAAAAAATAAAGTCGTTCTCATTGAACATGTCAGCAAGAGTCATGATCCACAGGGAAAGAACATGACAATGAGGAAGCTTAGTGTGCTAGAGTTATAGCGGGTCTTAGCAGGGCATAACTGTGACAAAGTTTATAGTGCTAAAATCATAACTGGCAATGACAGAGCATTGCTGTGAGGCATCTGCACTGCAGCCGTGACAGCTCCTACAGCACCACCATTGCTGGAAGGAAAATCTGACTAACAATCCTGTTCCAATATGGTAACTATATACTGTAACTCAACTCCACTGGAAATGAGAGAGAATTCTTGGAGGTTTTGGGGGTTTTTTATGAATAACTTTAGTCTGGAATCAGCAGGGCGTGACAAAGAGGAAACCTTTCAAAGATTACAATCCAGGTTCTCTGAGAGTTCTAATAGCAGAGTGTGAGAATTAGCAAGCTAGAAAAAGAAATGAAGAAAGGTTAGAGCAGTGGGGAGAAAATTAAAATAGAGAATATTTACCCTCCAAGCATGCTAAGCAAGAAAGTGGATCTTAGGTGGAGATGTGGAGGAGCAAGTTTTCCTAAATGAGGGTGAGACAATCAACTGGTGCCACGTTTCCTGAGGACCCCAAAGGGCATGGCACATCAGTGCTGGTATCTGTGGGAAATAAATGAGCGTGCATTGTAGCTACATCTTTTCTTCTATTTTTTCCATTTGACTGTTTGTTTCTAAATCTGTTGTTGCAAAGGCTTAATGTAATATGACATACCACTATGAACTAGAATATAGAGGTTTCAGAGTAGCAGCCGTGTTAGTCTGTATTCGCAAAAAGAAGAGGCGTGCTTGTGGCACCTTAGAGACTAACCAATTTATTTGAGCATAAGCTTTTGTGAGCTACAGCTCACTTCGTCGAATGCATCCGATGAAGTGAGCTGTAGCTCACGAAAGCTTTTGCTCAAGTAAATTTGTTAGTCTCTAGAATATAGAGAATATCTCAATGCTTGAAAATAATTAGATCTCTTTTCAAAAAGCTGTTTCACAAACTTCAGCATTGTTGGACTTAAGTAAGTACTTTTTAATGTGTGTTGTGTTGTTTAAACCACAGAATGCACCTGTGGTTCAATGACTGCCTATTATTGATTTGTGTTGGTGGTTGTTTGCAGTGGTGGTCTAGTGACATTGGTCCCGGGATATTAGCGAGATAAGGTGGGTGAGGTAATATCTTTTATTGGACCAACTTCTGTTGGTGGAGGAACATGCTTTCAAGTTCCACAAAGCCTCAAAGGACCTGAAGAAAAGTTCTCTGAAGCTTGAAAGTGTCTCTCTTTCGTCAACAGAAGCTGCTCTAATAGAAGTCTCACCCACTTATCTCTCATATACTGGGACCAACACCGTGGCAGCAACACTGCTTAATAGCCTGCTGTTTGATTCTTAGCAATGGTTTTTATAATTTTTTCTGTTCTCATCCATATATATGTCCAACCCTTTTTTCTGAATCCTACTAAGTTCTTGTCCTCAGTTATACCTTTTAGCAGCAAGTTCCACAGGTTAAGTATATGTAGAGTATTAAAAAAAATTCACCTTTTTAAATCTTACTGCCTTTCATTTTATTGATCAGCCACTTGTTCTTGAATCACAAGAAAAACTTGAACAGCAATGCCCAATATACCTTCTCTGCCCCATTCATTGTTTTGCCTTCCTCTTTCATGTCCTCTCTTATTCATCTGCTCTCCAAACTAAACAATCCTATTCTTTTCAATCTCTGTAAATATGGTAGTCTTCCTATGCCTCTAATCACTTTAATTACCTGTCTCTGAATTCCCTCTTATTTCAGCTCTATCTTTTTTTGAGCTAGGATGACCAGAACTGATCACAGTGTTCCAGATATGAGCAAACCATTCTTCTATATGACATTAAATGTTTTCACTGCTATTTTCCATCCTGTTCTTTTTGCATCCTGTGTCTTGTTTGCTTTTGTGAGGGCAGCAACATCCTTAGTAGGCAATTCCTGTGAGCTATTCACAATGACACCCAATTGTTTTTTCCTGAGTACTTCCATCTGACTCAACCCATTAATCTCCCCATGTTCTTCTCAAAACCTCAATTTTAGCTAGTGGAAACTGGACTCCATACCCTAAATCTCGACAGGGGTTTGAGGGTTTAGCTGGATAGGACGGGGAATTTAGGAAGTTATCAAGACTTTCTATGGCTTTTGGGGATCAGTGTAAAGAGGAGGTCACTTCTGCTCAGTGCCTGTCTAAGAAGATTAGGCTGTACCATGAGTCACACTGTACTTTAGTAGGGGTGTCAGTACCTCATGGTCTTAGCACCCACACTGCCAGGGTTCATGCAATATCAGTAGTTTGCCTCCATAATGCTTCCATCATGGAGAGAGCAGAGCATTGGAGTGATGTGCTCTCGACTGCATGTGTTGTTCAACAGACGGGCTGCTGTGTTCTGAACCAATTGCAAAGAGCTCTTGTAAGTTTACTTCTCTGAAAGCACCATAGTAATCAAGGCCAGAGATCATAAATGAGTGGGTCACTGGGCAAAGTCTGAATCCAGCAGAAGAGGCTGCAGTCTTCCTGGCAGCCACTAATGGAAATGAGGATTATTTTGCAGAGCTGGCCGTTTGAATATCCGGAAGTACAGAGGAGTCCAGGTGAAAACCAAGGCCGAGAACTCTGGAAATCTGCCTTCAGATTGTTAATAACCTATTTTACATGGAAAGCACTCAGCTACGAGGAGGAATGGGCAGCAGTACAAAACCTTAAGATAGATCGATGTCCTTATCGAGGTGGCATGTTCTTCAATGTATTTCCCTCTCCCCACCAGTATCCCCTCCTTTTTTCCAGGGCTCAGCTTTATTCACCTGCTACTCATCCAGGTGTTGAATTCAGTCAAGCCATTGGACACCTGTGGGAGGGTGCTGTTTCCGTCTGATCTGGATGTGATGTATAGCTGAATGTCATCTGCACACTGCTGGCATTTTATTCTGTGCTGTTCTTATTCTCTATTAGAGCTCTCGCTCAGCTGCCCATCACTGACTGCAGCCTGATTGGCCTGTCCCTAGCATTATGCAATCGTCTTGAGTTTTCCCAAAGCTCGTCATGGGAAAATGCATCCAATGAAGTGAGCTGTAGCTCACGAAAGCTTATGCTCAAATAAATTGGTTAGTCTCTAAGGTGCCACAAGTCCTCCTTTTCTTTTTGCGGATATAGACTAACACGGCTGCTACTTTGAAACCTGTCATGGGCAGTGTGATCAAACTGGGCATCTTGAACATTCTGGGAAATTTGTAAAAAATGTGGGCAGTCTGATCTAACGGTAAATTATCAAAATCCTTCTCACCTTCCTTTTATCAGCCAATCAGTGTAAAAAAGGTGTAATTGTGTGTTAACAGCTGGCTTTTAGGGCTAGAAAGGGGTGGCGGAATGGGGTTGCAGAGACCATTTCCTAACAAATTAAGCACATTTCTAATCTTACATCGTTTTATAAAAGTAAGTCTCTGTCACCAGCATGTGGGACTTACCTAAATTCACCAAGCAGACAAGTAAAGCTTCAAAAGTTCCAGGGAAGAGGGGAGAACACTTCTGCAAGAGGAAGGAAAGCATCCGGGCTTGGGCTGTGGCTGATTTCTCTTGGGGAAAAAAATCAGCACAATAGCTGGAATAATTAGATGCCCTTGCAATAAAACTGTTACTGCTACCTGGCAACAAGCAGGAGCCATGTTGGAGGGCATGAGAGATTGGAATGAACGAATGAATAGAGAGCTTTGGCATCCCTCTGAAATGGACACGAGAGAACTAGGGTTACCATCACATTATTTTGAAAAATATGCCGTACGTTCCCAGGGCACCCATTCAACTCTGAAGGTGTGCGAGGCTACCTACAAAAAGGCATGATTGTCATTGGTAGCATACCCAAGCTCTCCTGCTATATCTTTCATTAAAGTTCAAATCCCAGTTTTAAAACACCCGTGGCACTTTGCCCTGTGGCCTTATGTTTTCATCTCCCTTCCCTCTGGGTGCTGAGAAGTTTAACCAAAGCACAATGGATCAGATTCTTAGCTGGTGTAAATCAATGTAGCTTCACTGGCTCATGACCTCTATTTTAGAGCAGAATTAGAGAAAATGCGGTTCTGTAAGTGTGTTTGCCTTATCAACAAAAGAAGCAAAGAATTTAAAATATATGGAGGTAATCCTCTTCCTGTTGAGCTCAGTGACAAAAACCCTGCTGACTTTGATGGGAGCAGGATCTGTTGTATGTAAGGTTATTTTTTAATTAAAAGTTGAAATACTTCTGTCTGTTAAGAAAAGTAGGCAACAGCCTTAAAAGAAGCTTTAATATGTGGCTAGTTTAATCAGTAGCCAACTGAGTTATGTGGTCAAGTTTTTATCGAAGCTAGTATCAGATTATAGGCTTTATTTGAAAACATCTAGAGAGACGCAAATGTTATCTACTGAGTTATTGGTGTGTTACTATGGCAGGCTAGTGGCAGGTCCCCATCTCATACTGCACTGTGCTATATCATCTCCGGATGGAAGCAAAATGGTAAAGGCAGAACATAAAGCTTTGCAAGAAAGATACAGTTCTTGGCACTCAGCAGCTATGCGATGCCCCAGGGCTAAGGCTGAGTAGTGCTGAATGGTATTATTAAGCAATGTTAAATCTTCAAGGACTTGATTCTTCGGCTCCGCGGGGGACTATTTGGGAAATAGGAGCATGGTTATAGTATGAGGAGCTAGAAAAATATTTTTGTTTGTTTGTCTTCAGTAACCCACCTCTCTCTCTTTCACATTTGAAGTATTTGTTCGGTTAAACCAGTGGACAAATATGCACTTGAAGCTGGTTTAAT